GGACTGTGTCGGTGGTTTGTGTGGGGTGCGCAGGTGGGCAGCGTCCACAGAAGTGACGCGTTTGCTTTCCAACATTGGTCTGGTGTGAGGGTCGCCCTTTCGCCCCTGCAGGTCTGTCGGGAGCGCAGGGGAGTTGGTGGAGCTCGTGGGGGCCGGCCTGCAGCTCCGGGCCAGGCGCGCCACCTCCGTGCACGCGGATTCTTCTCGCTCTCACCTGGTCGTCACGGTGACTCTGACCGCGGCCACCTCCGGGGACAGCACCCGTAAGTGGCCCTTTGCGCCCAGTCAGCTTGCACGCGACTTCGGTCACGTAGGCTCCCGCAGGTCTGATGCCTCACAGGCCCCCGGGGTGGGAACGGCAGCTGCGTCCTCGGAGGGTCTGGGGTCCAACCCCAGAGGCCACCGGGCTCCGGGGCCGAGGAGGAGGGGACACTGGGGAGGGAGGAGACCACTTGGTTCAGTCAGACCCAGCGCGGGAGGGATGGAGGCAGGGCCCGTGGGTGCCCAGGCGCCTGATGCTTCACCATGAACAAAGCTCCAAACGCGTTGTCAGGTTAGAAGGTGACGGGCGGTTCCGTCAGGAAAGGGACACGCGGCTGGCAGGTCCGAGGTCTTCGCCCACCGCAGAGCCCCGCGCGGTGCCCACAGTCAGCCGCTGGCAGCACCGGCCTGGGCAGTAGCCCGATCTGGCCCAGGCTGGTGTGGCCCGGTGGATAGAGCATCAGCCCAAGGACGGAAGGGTCCTGGGTTCGATTCCAGTCAAGGGCACGCATCTCTGTTGCAGGCTGGATCCCGGCCCAGGTCGGGTGCGTGCGGGAGGCAACCGGTCGATGTGTCTCCCTCACATCGATGTCTCTCTCGGTCTCTCCCCCTCCTTCCCACTCTCTCTAAAAACCGATGGGAAACGTCCTCAGGTGAGGATTAACCACAGAAGTAAAAGCCTGGACTCGGGCCGACACCCCACGGGACTCCTCACTCGGCTGCAGCCCGAGGCCCCCAGGTGGTGGGCGCGGGGGAAGCCGTGCAGGTGCAACTGGACAGCCGGCGCCCACCAGCCCACAACTGCCCCCGAGCGGCAGGCCGGCCTCGCCCCAGGGTCTGGGCAGGGGGTGCGGCTCCCGCTGTGGGGATCCCCGACCATATGGATCGTGCCGCACAGGCGAAGGCACCCGTGGCGTCCACGCTGTTCGACGCTGTGCTCCTGCGGCTCTTGTTCCACGGTGACTGCGCTCGTCAGGTGTCTGTTCAGAAGCAGCGCCGGACGGAGCTGACACCTCTCCCATGAGGCGAGGTCGGTCTGTGGGCTCCCAGCAGGAACTGTGGGTCCGCGCCCGTGCGGCGAGGCGGCTGGTTTCTGAGCGGGTTTCACGGTGTCACCACCGGCCCTTCCTCAGAAGCCGGCCGTGTTCGCGGGACCGACTTTCCGCAGAGGCAGCGACGCTCCCTCTGTGCAGCCGCTCAGCGTCACCCGTCCGCGTGGAGAGGAAGTCACGCACCCGTCCGTCCGTCTCCGTCCCTTTGGGGTGGAGCTCAGGGCGCAGACGGAAGGTGAGGGAAGCTTCTGGAACACCTGTACCACTGTCCTTGCAGCTGAGTCGCGGTCCAGCCCATCACTGCCCCAGGCGCCCGGCTGCCCCTCGCCGTCGCCGCCAGCAACAGGGAGGAGGCCGCCTGCTCCCCGCAGAGCCTCACCCGGGTCCCCGGAGGCCCGGCCCGCGGGGCAGGTGCGCGCCCGGCTGCAGCTGGTGGACCTGGCGGGCAGCGAGGGTGCAGGTGAGTGACCGGCGTCTGTGTGGTGGGCAAGCGTCCTCCTGGGTGAGCTGGGTGTGGGCTCCTGTCCGAGGGGTTGTGAGCAGCCACCGCGGGTCCCCAGCATGGGGTCCCTTCCAACGTGACCTTCAAATCCTTAACCCCTGCAACCACCCCGGCCAGTCCGGGAGCGAAGGGCTTGGCCCCCGTGAGGGCCCCGTCGGTGGCCACGTAGGTTGTCACGAGAAGGTGTCCTGACCTCGTGCTGCCCCGGGAGGGACTCCCAGTGCCTCTTGCCCGGAGCCCCCATTTGCTGTCCTGGTTCACGCCTCCACCTCTGTGTCTGACGGTCGCAGGGGCGTCTGGAGCGAGGGGACCAGCCCTGAGGGAGGCGTCCTTCATCAACCGGAGCCTGGCGGCCCTGGCGGACGTCCTGGGGGCCCTGGCGGCACGCCGAGCCCATGTCCCCTTCCGCAACAGCAAGCTCACCCACCTGCTGCAGGACGCCCTGGGTAACTCGTGTCCCCGAGACTCCGGGCCCCTGGCTTTCAGGTCCGCGTCCCTCCTCGACGTTCCCAGCACTGTGTGCCCACCCACTCCACACTCTGCTGTCCCGCCGGGCGGGTCTGTGGGTGCGCACGCGGCCGGCTCCTTCCCGGGGACTGCAGGGCAGGGGGACAGGACCCAAACATGGGGGAGGGGGCCCTGTTCTGAGCCGCAGCTCATCCTGGTCTGTGGGGAGCAGGGCCCAGGGTTACACTTTATGGCTTCTGCGCCTGAGAGACCCCCGGGGCTCTGATCCCTGATCCCCCAGGGCCAGTGCCACCACAAGCAGTGGGGACATGGGGAGCCGGCCTCACTCACGCGGGGGCACATCCCTCCTGGTCCCTCAGCTCCTCCTTCCCT